AAAAAACATTGTGTTTTTTTTTTTTGGTTTCTGGAATGAAAAACTAAAATAACATTGTGCCTTTTGGTTTTTGAAATGAAAAATATAAAAAAATCTAAGGAAACACATAAAACCAAAACACTAATTCCTGCAGAAGTCTTTGGGGGAAAGACTTCTCCAGTTTTTTTTTTTTTTTTTTTTTTTTTTTTTTTTGTTTTTTTTTTTGTTTTTTTCTTTGTTTTTTTGGGTTCTGAGGTGAAACACAAAAACACACAATGGTTTTTTTGGGTTTCTGGATGAAAACCAAGAAAACACATTTTTTTTTTTCGTTTTTTTTTTTGGTTTTGAAATGGAAAACCAAAACACATTGTGTTTTTTTTTTGGTTTTGTTAAAATGAAAAACCAAAAAGACCTAAGGAACACAATTGCGAAATATTTCCATGACCTCTCGATTTTTTTTTTGTTTGTTGTTTTTTTGGTTTTCCTTTTTTGTTTTCTAATTTCCCAAAAGAAATCATATTGATGCAGAGCTGAGGTTAGTTATTTCAGTTGGCCCATTTCGTCAGGTCCCAGAGAGCATTTACTATCCCCTCCCCCTCCCCTCCCCCCGCACAAGCCTTTCGAGTGATCACCACCTACGCCTTTTCCGTAAGTTTTTTTTCTCAAGCTGAAAGCTTTACGCTGCCAGTGATCACAACTCCCGATCATGGCCAGTGCTCGCAACTCCAGAGCCGACAGCTTCGCGCGGTTCTTCTCGGTGCCAGATGATCGCGGCATCACCTTTGAGGAGGCGATCGTGCGTACGAAGGACAAGAAGCGCGGCCCGCTCTTGTCCCAGCCGATCGTGAAGAACCTCATGCCTGAGGACTTCGGGCCAGACCAGACGTGGCTGGGCAATTTTCCGATGGTCCCCGCTGGAGGTTCGACCAAGCTCGCCCAGTGGATGGACTTCGTGCACCCCTACGAGGGCCCACGCCCGTACGTAGAGCAGGACCAGCATGAGCAGAGGATGGCAAAGTTGAAGGAGCTGGAGGGGATTGCCATGTCCAACTACTACGAGAACTACCCTGACAATCTGAAGCCCGCCAACAAGAGCATTCTGCCGTTCACGATGCAAACGTTCATCACGAAGAATCCTGACAACACGCGCAGCCTGCTCAAGCTGTTCACGAGGGAGAAGGACAACGAGATTAAGTACAGCGATGCATTTCAGATGTGCCACGGGTCGATGTACAAGGTGGACTACGGCAAGCACTTCAGAGATGGATCCAGAGCACTGCAATATCTATTTGAACGGTTGCCAGGCTTCCAGGTGAGATACTATGCCGTGGTGGACTCGTGCGCTCCGAAGCGGCCCACGGATGTGGACTCGAAACGCAGAGGCTCGAGTGTTGCCAATGGTGTCCCTGGCCTGAGGTTTTCCTAGGATTTCCTGGGAGGCCCCCGCGGCCTCCAGAGCACTCCTCACGAGGCCCAGAGGGCCCCGGGGGGTCCAAAATGGCTTGAAAAGCTGCGGGCGCCTCGGGCCAGGGATACCTTTAGCAACTCCCGAAAGGCTTCGAATACATCAAGGAGCACGGGCCGAAGAGCAACATGGACAACGCGGCCCTGGAGTTCGCGGAGATTGCCTGCGATGACCCCGAGTCGCCGATCTACGGCTGGCCGAAGTCCCTCGTGGAACGCTCGTGCCTCAACCGCGGGAAATCCGCGGCTGCCGCCCGCGAGCAGACGTTCAAGCATCTCACGCTCTGGGACATCAGGGGGTGGTTCTTGATGTGCGTGCTGGCGCCGATCCTGGGCTCCTGGCGGAGGAAGTCATTCATTTTCCTTGGCGAGTCTGGCTTCGGGAAGAGCCCGCTGGCAAAGGTTCTGGCCATGCTGTTCTCCATGCGGCACGTCGAGAACGATAACATTGACGAGGAGCCTGGATTTCGCCTCTGCAACTCGTTCGAACACCTCCGGCACGAAGTGGGCGAGCGCGAGGTAACGGAGGTCTTCGACGACGGCGATCTGGAGCAGCAGGGCCAGGCCAAGCTCAAGGCGTTCCACGACGACGCCGAGAGGGAGGCCCGCACGGTTGAAAAATATACTACGACCTGCTTCGCAGGACAGAGTGCCCGCATCACTGCGAACAACGCCTACGACGAGAGCGCCCTGCCGACGGATGCCGGGCTCGCAGTGACATCGCCCGTTGCCACGGCCAAGCAGTTAGTTCTACGAGGCGGTGCGCCCATCGTTCAACGCGAACCTCTCCAAAAAGAACTTGATGGCACTCTTTAAAAGGAGCAATCTCGTGCAGTTTGATAAGAGGGGCGTGTTCGCCAGACCTGCTGGTATCGAGGAGGTGCCAGTTCCGTTCATTGCGTGCCAGATTGAGGGCAAGCCAGACATTCTGACCGATGAGTGCAAGGAGCACTGCGGAAACTTCCTCGAGAACGGCAACATTCCCGCTCCTGACGACTACGACGAGAAGATGGCGTGGTCCATGGCGTACCTGAAGGTCTGCATGGCAGGCCAGACGCCTCCGCCGATCAAGACCGCCATGACTCGCAGCATCGTGAACGCGTCGCGCGGGTCCGCTGGTCTCTACCAGAACAAGGCCACCGTCGTGGAGAGCAGGCCGACCACTCACCAGCTTGAGAACATGCTGGCCAGCAGCGGCTCCGCGGGGGCGCAGCCGACGGAGGCGGCCGCGGAGCAGCTCGAGCAGGAGCAGTTGGAGCAGGTCATGCGCCAGAGTGCTGAGGCGATCCCTCTCGGCCCAGGAGAGTGGCAGGGCCGGGGGGCGGGAGGCGTCGCGGTCAAGGAGGAGAAGGAAGATTCTCCGAGGGTTCGCGGACGCTGGGGCAAGCGCCTTGCCCCTCACACTGGCCCTCCAATCAACATTACCGATTCCAGCCAGAGCCCGAACAAGCTGATGAAGACTTCCAACGGCGACAGCCGCGACGAGGATCTCAACCTCGACGAGGTCGTAGGCGCGGCGCTCGAGGACCAAGGGGAGATCGATGCAGCGCCGCCTGCGGCAGCCGCCGCTGGCGATGGCGCGGATTGAGTGGCTCTCAGAGTCGTGCAGGTCGCTTCCTACGCAGATGGCCGCGGAGCTTGCCGCGTCCATGCGCGCGCTTCTCTGCGCTGCAGTCCGTGTGCAGGGAATGCTTTTCAGAGGCGCTTGCGCGCGATCGCCAGTCTGTTAGACTTTCAGCTACATGAGCAATTTTATTAAGCAGAGATACCCAGCCGAAGTGGGTGAAAATAGCGTTTTGCATTGCGCTATCGCATCGATGCTTCGCCGCTGCCTTTCTCGCCGCCTCGTGCCATTACCGTGTCGTTTATGCAGCCATTTTTGCTTCGAGCGCCCAGGAGCCACAACGCACTCGGTATGGTCAAAACATGTCGTCGTCCTGCCGCTGTGGCCGAGGTGGCCAAGCGGCGGCCTGCCGCGGCAGTCAAGCGCATCGGCGAGCCGTCCGCGGCGGTCAAGCAACGGCCAGCGGCCGCCACACCGCGCATCACATGTCCGCTTCGTGTGTGCCCTGTGTGTGAGAAGCGCTTGTTCGTTCAAGGTGATTCAGAGGATGCAAAGTGCGTCATCATCGGGGGCGAGACGATCACGGTGCAGGCGTGCCAAAGGGTCAGGTGCGGTAGCGATTGCAGAACGACATGTCGGCACAACTTCTTCAGGTTGGACGGCGGGCACAAAATCAATTGCTTGTCGTACAGCGATATTCGCACCTCGGGCGTGTATTTGCTGACGCCGAATTTCGGATTCACTGCGGGCTTCCTGGGGCTGCAGTATCTGCGGCTTATTCGCGCGCAGGAAGCACCAGGTCAAGAAGCTCATGTGCAGCGTCTTTTTTTTTCACCATGCGGATGAGAACATATTGGGACAGGTGTCTCTTCGCGATCATTTGCTGCACGCGCTGGAGGGCATTGCGATTGCCAAGCGGAACCCGTCTGAGGTCGTGCCCTTTGACATTGACTTCCCAGCCAGCTACTTACCTCGCAAGCAGTCCGTGTTCCTCTTCCCTTCGCCAGTGCACGTGGACGCCATCTCCTTCGACGGGCACTTCGGCGTCGACAGGGTACTCGAGGCGGTCATTGACCCGCCCCGAACGTCAGCGAAGATTGGGAAACCTCGAAGCCTGAAGCCGCACCAGAGGACGGCGCAGTGCTCCAAGAAGTACCTCCACTTCTCGGGACCTGATCGCACTGGGGGCTGGCAGCTCGTAATGGGCCCAGTGTCTCGGCGATGCCTCGGCGCCACCGAGCACTTGAACAGCGAGTGCTGCGATGACAAGCACCGCGTCGTCGAGGCTGTGATGGGGGAGCCTCCGCGACCCTCGGCAGACCACGCAGAAGAGCCGGCAAAACTCAACCATGAAATGGCACATCTTGAGTAACATCTCTATCACAACTCATTGAGAAGATGTGAGATTGCATCCTTGCGATTTCCGAAGGTATTGCATCCTTACCGAGATTTGATAAATGGTTTCCCCTTTTCGGTTTCTAAGAAATGATGTGTCATTTCATGGTTGAGTTTTGTCAGCTCTTCTCGGGGGCGGGCATGGTGTTCGACATCGCCACGTGCCGGCCCGCCTCGAAAACGCCGCCTCAGCCGCTAGCGCGCAGCGCGACGGACGCGCTGCGCGCGGCGCTGGAGCAGCAGCAGCAGCCGCAGCCCAGCGCAGCAGCAGCGGACCAGCAGGAGCAGCAGCAGCCCCTGCCCAAGAAGCGCCCGAAGCCGAACCAGCAGCAGGAGCAGCAGGAGCAGCCGCAGCCCCTGCCGAAGAAGCGCCCGAAGCCGAACCAGCAGCAGGAGCAGCAGGAACAGCAGGGCGACGCGGAAAAGCTAGAGAAGTTGATTCAGAAGAACCAGGTGGCTCTCCTGGTGCTGGAGAAGGGGGGGCCGCCCGCGCACCTCCTCGAGCAGTAGGCAGTAGGGCAGGCCGCAGAGACAGGGGGGAGGAAGAGGAGGAGGGGCGCCAAGGAGAGGAGGGAGGGGGGAGAGAAAGGAAGGAGGGGGAGGGACAGAGAAGGAGGAGGAGCAAGGGAAGGAGAGAGGACGACAGACGAGGAGAAAAAAAAACAGACAGAAACAAACAAACGAAAGGAGCAGCAGCGACGGCAGCAGCAGGAGGAGCAGCAGCAGGAGCAGGAGGAGCAGCAGGAGGAGCAGCAGCAGGGGCAGCAGGAGGAGCAAAAGGGCTCTGGCTCGCACGAGACCCGCTCTGGCTCTGGCTCGAAGGGCGAAACAAACAAAGAAGAAGAGGCCAGCGCCATTCCGCCGCCCCTCAGAAGGAGCGCGTGCTTGCGACGATCGTGGAAGTTATAGTATCGACCAGGAGCTTTTTTGATGCTTGCAAAAAGGCAACGACAAAAGCTTTGGGGAGCTCTGAGACCGCCTTGAAGGAGGGCGTGCTTGCGACGATCGTGGAAGCTATAGGATCGACCAGGAGCTTTTTTGATGCTTGCAAAAAGGCAACAGAAAAAGCTTTGGAGAGCTCTTGAGACCGCCTTGCAAGGCAAGACTTGAAATCACATTTCATACCATAGCCTTTGAGGCCATAAGAGCCCCTCGGGTGGGCCTCCCGGGTCACCAGCAAGACTTCTGCAGCCGTCTTGGAGCTTTCGGGGGCTGGCCTGGAATCATTAATTTTGGTTCCGTGCGTATCATAATCATCTGTGTTATATTATTCGATTCATCATTTGTTCTCATATGATCTTCCTTCCTTGCTACTGTGCATATGTTTCGCTATCATTCCGTAGCCAGCCGGCTCATTTTTTTCTCAAAAAAAATATTATTATTATTATTATTATTTTTTTTTATTTATATATATATATATATATAAACTGCTTCTGTCTATCAAATGGCAATAGCAGGGATATTTGAAGATGTGAGTATATTCAATTCATGCACTGAGTTTTACATACAAGTATTACAAAGGAAGCCAAGTGGATGCAGCGAGAGGTGGGCGAGCATATCTTGACGATCTAATGAGCGAAAACCCAGGCACTTTCCTCATACATGTTGTTAGGCAATTGCCTCCCACAAACGATGGGGGCTTTTGACGCCGAGCAGCAAACTTTTGGGTGGCGCTTTGGATAGAAAGAGCTCAAAGAAATACACGCGAAGAAATGTCAGATTTTCGCGTGTCCCAATCTGTTGAGAAGGCGCGGAATCACAAATTTGTTTTGTCTGAGTTGTATAGCAAAACAGGCAAGTTACAAAACTGTGCAGTTACAAAAGCAATGGAAAACAGCACGTGGTGTTTCTTATCAATGATGAATTTGTTTCAGATTCGCAATCCTCGTGTTCAGTGGGATCCAGTGCCTAAAGCATTGCGCGAATATGTAGAAGGACTCGATTTAGAGAAAGGTGTATACCCAGGAGGATTAACAATTATGCTTTGTATGATAGCCAGCGGACGTTCTTCGTCCCTGTCAAACTTATTACAAGAACCAGCAATCAAACAATGTTTTGACAATGATTGGAGCAATCTTACAGTCGACAGACTGCGATGCGTCATCTTGACTGCAGAGAATGAAAGCAAAGGATTGAACATTGCAGAAGGTTCAACATCTGAAGTGAAACGTAGTGCTCTGCTTTGCAATGCCAATTACGGGTACCACGCTGACTGGGTGCGAGACTTCATGCGGGAATTCGATACAACGGAGAAGATATTTGAATCGTTTGCAGAATCATTCCAAAAACTTTCAAAGGTGACAGGCATTGGAGCATTCAGGGCAGTACATATTCTTCTTTTGATATTTATTGCATATGATGCCGAGATTGACGTGCCGGACGAAATGCTATACGATTTAGCAGGGCCAAATGTCAGACTGATGGAAAAGATGCGTCAAATTGCTGGGTTCACTTATAAACAGCTATATAAAAAGGTAAAGGAAGAGCTGCCGCATAGGGGACCAGTCGAATATGAAGTCTGGACGTGCAAAGTCGTTAATTTTATTTTTCCCTTGAATCTGATGAAACAGCCAAGCTTGTGTTATCGCTCATTGAAAAAAGGAAGAATTGGTTAAGCCAGAAGGGCGGCTAATCAAAAAGCAGAGGATTGAGTAGATTACGATTGCATCATATATGATATTGTTGTCACGCAAGTTGACTTGTGCACTTGAGACTTTGCTGATGCATTGATAAAGCGCTGTGTAGAAAAGAGCTTGCACTTATGTGACAGATCTTCTATGCAGATAGCTGATGCTATTCCGCCAGCCTTCAGATTCTTAGAATTTGCGATATATAGCATTTCCTAATGGAAATGGCAAACAAGAAAAATTGTCAAACAAATAGTAATTTTTAGTCGACCTTCTTTTTTTAATGAAATTATGTGTTTTTATGTTTCAAACGTTAGAATTATGGTAAAAACGCGTTTCGTTATCGGTTCCCTAAGTGCGAATTATGTAGCACTTCCTGATGAAAATGGCAGACAAGAAGATCGTTAAAAACTGTTATGTTCATCTTGATCTTCCTTTTTAATGGAAATATGTGTTTTTTCTGTTTCAAACGTTGGAAGTCTGAAGAGGATATGTTTCCTTATCGTTTCTCTAAGTATGAATTATGTAGTACTTCCCAATGGAAAGGATAAGCCAGGAAATATGTGAAAAAATACTTGTTGCGTTTTGTTCTTCTGTTTTTAATGAAAATAATTGGGTTTCTGTTTGGAACCGCAGAATAGTGGTAAAACCGCAATACTTATCAATTGTTGTTTAATGAGTTCTGCGATTTTTTTGTTTAATTTTTTTTTTTTTTTTTTTTTTTTTTTTTTTTGTTTTTTTTTTTTTTTTTTTTTTTTTTTTTTTCTCTCTGCCGTGCGCTTTGCAAAAAATAGCTAAACACAGTGTGTTTTGATAGGGTTCCATGCAAAGTGATAGTTTCGCCTCGGTGAAACGTTCAGTTTTGATAATGTGCGGGTTGCGAAAACCAGCCCGCGCAGCGTTCCCCTCTCCAGAAAGACAAGAAGACTCCCAAGACTACTAAGACCACGGATGCAACGACCATTCGTACTGATAATAATAAGCAGACTATTTAATAATAAG